ACAAGGTGGACAAAAACAGGATGTTCCGGAGATGGGACACAGCAACAAGGGGACACAGTTGGAAGATGAAGATACAGGTGAATCACAGGGATGTCAGGAAGTATTTCTTCAGCCACAGAGTAGTCAGGAAGTGGAATAGTTTGGGAAGCGATGTAGTGGAGGCAGGATCCATACATAGCTTTAAGCAGAGGTATGATAAAGCTCACGGTTCAGGGAGAGTGACCTAGTAGCGACCAGTGAAGAGGCGGGGCCAGGAGCTTCGAATCGACCCCTGCAACCTCAACTAGGTGAGTACAACTAGGTGAGTACACACGTGTTATGTCTCAGTAGAGCAGTGAGGGTCGACTTGGGTATCACAGGTGTGAAGGTCACGCCTCCAGTGACCTCAGATGGCCCCACCTCAAGTGACCCTCTCTGGCAAACGACTTGCTCTCTCCCGCCCCTCATTGTTCACCTCAGCTCATCTTGGGTCACCGTGGGTCACTCATCTTAAGCCTCTATCATCCTCTCTGGGGTCACCACACCATGTACAGTTTTCCCAGTGTACTCACCTGATTGTACTCACCTAATTGTGGTTGCAGGGGTCGATACTCAGCTCCTGGCCCCACCTCTTCACTGATCGCTACTAGGTCCTCTCTCTCTCCCTCTGCTTCCTGAGCTCTGTCATACCTGCCTCCACTACATCACTTGCTAGGCTATTCCACTTCCTGACGACTCTATGAATGAAGAAATACTTCCTAACATCCCTGTGACTTGTCTGAGTCTTCAGCTTCCAATTGTGACCCCTTGTTTCTGTGTCCCCTCAGTGGAACATCCTGTCTCTGTTTACCTTACCTATTCCATGCAGTATTTTGTATGTCGTTATTATGTGTGTGTGTGTGTAGGTGTGCATTTCAGCGTGCGTGTGTGTATGTTCTTGGATTTGAGCGCGCTTTTGTGTTTACAGATTTGCGCGCGCTTTTGTCTCTACAGATTTGCGCGCACTTTTGTGTTTACAGATTTGTGCGCGCTTTTGTGTTTACAGATTTGCGCGCGCTTTTGTCTACAGATTTGAGCGCGCTTTTGTGTCTACAGATTTGCGCGCGCTTTTGTGTTTACAGATTTGCGCGCGCTTTTGCGTTCAAGTATTTGCTTGCCCAATTAAGTGTTCGCAAATTTGTGCTCGCGTATCTGCGCACTCGTTTGTGTTCGCGGATGTTCCATCTCCGGAACACCGCCACTGATGCAGCCTCAGTGAGCAACATTGATACTGATCCCTCAATCAACGTCATTAATGCAGCTTAACAATAAAACCCATTAACATTTCTTTATCTGTGAGACCCCCATGGGTTTGGCACTTCTCCACAGGATAATAATAATTATTATTATCATGAGTGCTAAACCCGTAGGGATTATACAGCGTCTGTGGGGGATGATGATATTCAGGTTTAATTCAGAGAACTGGAGAACAGATAATAATAATAATAATAATAATAATAATAATAATGCATAATAATAATAATAATAAATAATAATAATAATAATAATAATTATTATTAGAGAACACTCCTTATTATATAGTCTTTAATTTATTTAGTGATTTGTGTTATATAAGTTACATAGGTCTTTATTTTTTACCTTTCAGTAGTTACCTACTTTAAGATAGGCATCTATTTTAAAATAGGTATATAACAGAAAATAGGTAAATCTTGAAAGAGAGACATGCAAGACCAGGATATCTCCGTTATTATGGTCACATGTGCAGGTTTGTAGCAAGCCTCGCGCGCTTGAAGAGTTAAACCCGTCAGGGTTTAACTCTTCAAGTTGAAATTAAGACACATGTGCAACATCTGGGTATCTTTATTGTAGACGTTTCGCCATCCAGTGGCTTTATCAATACAAATTCTAGGACATAACTTGAAGACAGTAGAACTATGTACAGAAGATGAGGTAATCAGTCCCTCAACCTAGGAGTAGGTGCGAAGAGCACCATAGTCGTGGAGATTCTGAAGCAGAAGAAAGGAGCCTGGCGCTTATATAGTAACGTCAGGTGTAGCAGAGGGACTGATTACCTCATCTTCTGTACATAGTTCTACTGTCTTCAAGTTATGTCCTGGAATTTGTATTGATAAAGCCACTGGATGGCGAAACGTCTACAATAAAGATACCCAGATGTTGCACATGTGTCTTAATTTCATCTTGTCGGTATTATATTCCATTCTTGCACAACTCTTCAAGTAAATTAGGAATGCAAATGAATACTTCCTCACCGCTGGATGTCTCCTATGTCTGTGGTCTATAATGTCGTCCAATAATTTATATTTGTGGTCTATAATGTTGTCCTATAATTTATATCTGTGGTCTATAATGTTGTTTTATAATTTATTTCCCCTACCTTAAGTACGACGATGATCCCTTAGTTCGCTTAGCCTGTTACCCGGCTTGACGTTCACTTAGCCTATTACCCGGCTTGATGTTCACTTAGCCTGTTACCCGGCTTGATGTTCACTTAGCCTGTTACCCGGCTTGATGTTCACTTAGCCTGTTAGCTGGCTTTATGTTCACTTAGCCTATTAGCTGGCTTGATGTTCACTTAGCCTATTACCCGGCTTGATGTTCACTTAGCCTGTTAGCTGGCTTTATGTTCACTTAGCCTATTAGTTGGCTTGATGTTCACTTAGCCTATTAGCTGGCTTGATGTTCACTTAGCCTGTTACCCGGCTTTATGTTCACTTAGCCTGTTACCCGGCTTGATGTTCACTTAGCCTATTACCCGGCTTGATGTTCACTTAGCCTGTTAGCTGGCTTTATGTTCACTTAGCCTATTAGCTGGCTTGATGTTCACTTAGCCTATTAGCTGGTTTGATGTTCACTTAGCCTGTTACCCGGCTTGATGTTCACTTAGCCTGTTACCCGGCTTGATGTTCACTTAGCCTGTTACCCGGCTTGATGTTCACTTAGCCTATTACCCGGCTTGATGTTCACTTAGCCTGTTAGCTGGATTTATGTTCACTTAGCCTATTACCCGGCTTGATGTTCACTTAGCCTGTTACCTGGCTTGATGTTCACTTAGCCTGTTACCCGGCTTGATGTTCACTTAGCCTGTTAGCTGGCTTTATGTTCACTTAGCCTATTAGCTGGCTTGATGTTCACTTAGCCTGTTAGCTGGCTTTATGTTCACTTAGCCTGTTACCTGGCTTGATGTTCACTTAGCCTGTTAGCTGGCTTGATGTTCACTTATCCAGCCAAGTGGTTTTCTGTTTTTTTAATCCATCCAATTGGCTAGATTATCTCACGTCCTACTAAGTGGCTGGTAAGTGTAATACTGGTAAGTATAATACTGGTAAGTGTAATACTGGTAAGTGTAATACTGGTAAGTGTAATACTGGCAAGTATAATACTGGTAAGTGTAATACTGGTAAGTGTAACACGTGGACTAGCATTGTGACAAGAATGAGATTGAATAGTGGCCATTATGATTACGAGAGAGTTGGCTGACAGTCAGACTGAGTCCAAGCTGAGTGGATCTGATTGCTGACAGTCAAGGTTGAGTCCTAGATAAGTGGATCTGATTGCTGGTGGTGAGTCTGACAGTCAGGGTAGATGATGACAGGAGTGGCCTATCACTGCAGCCAATTCCTTTAGAGTCAACACTATATATTACATCCACGGCTGGTAAAAAAACAATGATGGTAAGCCAGAGCAATAATCTAATTTCCCGGGACTCCAGCACGAGAAGTGAGCCACAGTTGACTAGCGAGCCATCCACGTATGTATGGATCCTGCCTCCACCACATCACTCTCCAGACTGCTCCACTTCCTGACAACACTGTGACTGAAGAAATACTTCCTAACATTCCTGCGACTCACCTGCGTTTTCAGTTTCCGGCTGTAACCTCTTGTTGCTATGTCGCATCTCTGAAACATCCTGTTCCTATGTACCTTGTCGATTCCTCTCAGTATTTTGTATTGTTAGTGGAAGCAAGTTTCCTGTCAGGTCACAGTGATACAGACTTACGATATCGTAATAACAATATTGTAAACAAACCAGGGAACGGGTGGTGGTTTGAATTCATGGCGAGTGTTAAAATTCCAGGCCAGTGCATAAGCCATTTGGCCAGCTAGTTATTATAAGATTCATCCGGTGTTTGAGATACAGACCTAATGGAAGACAAGGGAGGATTGACGGTGTGAAAATAACTACAAAAAAGAATGACTTGTTTGTGTTTAGTAGTAGTAATAGTACTTACTTTTTATCAAATACACTTGTTGATAAACACTTGTCCTGTTGATGGTGGTTTGTGTGTGTGAGTAATATCTGTTGTATATATACAGGTTATTTGTGTATCGTTCCAGTCACGGTATTGTGCCTTTCTTTTGTTATTTATGTTGTGTGTGTGTGTGTGTATATATATATATATATATATATATATATATATATATATATATATATATATATAATATATATATATATATATATATATATATATATATATATATATTATATATGCAACAAGATCACAGTAAACAGGTGATTTCAGAATATGCAAAACAACCACTCTGAAAGAGTGGTTGGTTTGCATATATATATATATATATATATATATATATATATATATATATATATATATATATAATATATATATATATTAATATATATATATATATATATATATATATATATATTGCCCAGATAATATCATTCTGAAAGTTAATAATATACATTAAGACAGTATTAGGACATTTGACAATTTCCACCTAAATAAATCACCGACTTTCTGACCTAAGAAATTTATTGATGCGAAATCTAATCAAACAAGTGACAGTTAACGTATTCCTGGACAGTTATTGAAGCTCTTCCTGGTCTTGGTTAATTTTCATCAATATGAACGCAACTACGGAAAGAATTTATGTTATAGTGAATGTTATATCTAAAAGAATAAAGTCAGCAACGTAAACAGGGAAGGCTCCGCCCCCTTCCGGCTTAGTCCTATCAGAGAAGAAAAAATGCGGTGTTGCTCCGCCCCCCCAGCCATCTGTCCAATCAGACTGGTCAGCAGCGGCAATGTTGGTCGACCATTGGTCACTTGTGGACAGCTCCGGTGACTTAAAGGTGTGAAGTGGCGGGAACTTCTCACTCGCAGCACAGCAGCCTCGCAGCACGTGTCGTGAGACCAAGACACACACTACTGGACTTTTATCTTAAGTGAATCTCTCTCGACAGTTTTGTGTGAGTGATCATACACAATGCCGCGTCCCTGCCGCGAGAGTTACGGTGATCAGAAGCCGCCGTACTCGTACATCTCCCTCACCGCCATGGCCATCTGGAACAGCCCGGAGAAGATGTGTACACTGGCGGAGATCTACAAGTTTATTGTGGACAACTTTCCCTACTACCGCAAGAACACTCAACGCTGGCAGAACTCTCTGCGTCACAACCTCTCCTTCAACGACTGCTTTATTAAGATCCCTCGTCGTCCTGATAGACCCGGCAAGGGCGCCTACTGGACCCTACACCCGTCCGCCATGAACATGTTTGAGAACGGTAGCTTCTTGCGCCGCAGGAAGAGGTTCAAGATACCCAGGGATGAAAAGGACGCCATGGAGGCCGGGATGACGTCGTGCAGCGGCGTCCAGTGTCCTGAAGAGACGCTCTTCGAGGACCCCCGCGAGTTTAACCACATCGACCAGGAGTTGGACTTCCACTTGGGATATTTTAGCCACCCGGTTCAACTGACGCCCACACTGGGTTTCTCGCCGCCCACGGCAGGCGTCTCGGTGCCCACTCCTATGGTCTCACCGCCCACGCCCGCCCTCTCTACACCCACGCCAGTACAATCCACGCCCAAACGCCAGGCCTTCACCATTGAGAACCTTGCTACCAGCGACGCTCGACCCACGCCCGACCCCACGCCCCTGCAACCCTTCCTGTCACCAATGGGCATGGATGAGCAACAGGCCCACCCACATCACGCCCACCCTGACCATCAGGGCGTGGGAGGGATGGCGTGTGCCTCGTGCGTGACCACGCCCACACTGCTTCCTCACCTGTACCCGCCAGCTTCGCTTTCTCTCAACCTTGCGGCGCCCACGCCCCTCTACCCTACGCCCTTCCTCCACGCCATCAACCCTCAGGAGCTGCTGCAGCCTCTCCAGCCGCCTTACAACCACGCCCTCACCATCTTCGACGCTATGAGCCTTTCCAGGTTCTACACTAACCATTCCAAGGACTCCAATCATCCCAGCTACGACCCTAGCTATCCCAAGGACTCCAGCCACCTTAGCTACGACCCTAGCTATCCCAAGGACTCCAGCCACCCTAGCTACGACTCCAGCTATCCCAGCTTCGACCTTAGCTATCCTAGCTTCGACTCCAGCTATACCAAGGACGCCAGCCAGCCCATGGATCTCTCACAAGCGCGACCTCCAGCACAAGACAAGGAAAACTGTAGGTACTCCCCACCCATGAGGAGCCTATGACCTCTCCGTGATCATTCAGAGGTCATATACACCTGACGTGACCTCACCGCTGAAGGTCACAACTACCCCACACTCACCTATGTATATAATTATTGTACAGATACTAGCGAATGCTTTAATATTTTCTTAAGAATAAAGTTATGATTTGTATCGCGAGAATTTTAATTATTCCTTGCCTATAACAAGAAATTTTTTCCCTATAATTTGAAGGGTACACCATTTATCACAATGTCTGTGTTATGTTCCACTGATGCTATAATGATTCCACTGGTGATACAATGATTCCACTGGTGATACAATGATTCCTCTGGAGATACAATGACTCCATTAGTGATACACTGGTAATATGATTACCACTTGTTGTTGGTGTATCTTTTAGTGTATGTATACTGAGAGGTGCATATCTCTTAGTGTATTTGCACTGACAGGTGTGTATATCTTAGTGTATACACGCTAACAAGTGTGTGTATCTCAGTGTATATACACTGACAGGTGTGTATATCTTAGTGTATGTACATTGACAGGTGTGTATCTCTTAGTGTACATACAGTGACAGGTGTCTATCAGTGTATATAAACTGATAGATGGTCTATCAGTATATATATATATATATATATATATATATATATATATAATATATATATTATATATATATATATATATATATATATATAATGACGGGTGTCTATCAGTGTATATGCACTGATAGGTGTCTATCTCTCAGTGTATATACACTGAGAGGTGTGTATTTCTATACACAGAATTGTGTGTATATATATATATGTGTGTGTGTGTGTAATAAGATCACAATGAACAGGTGATATCACTATATGCAGAAAAGCCACTGTGAAAAAAATAGTGAAATTCCAAGGGCTTCCGTGATTTCTCACATTATCAAGGAAGTATCAAAATAAAAGATTAACAGAAAGGCATATAAGGAGGAGACTACACTTCGCTGCCACTCCACAACACCTGTGAGTGTTTATGATGATGTAGGTACGTAGTCCAGGATCCCTAAAACACACATCATATTCTACCCACAAATGTAATTAGCCTAATGTATCTTAAATTCTTCCCAGATTTTATAAATTATAAATTCAATTTGTATAACCCAAAAGTAATATTTATATTATTTTCAAAAGTACTTTTATGAGGCCGACTACATACAATTTTCTCACATATATATATATATATATATATATATATATATATATATATATATATATATATATATATATATATATATATATATATATACACGAAAGTGCACAGCTGTGTGTATTTCAAGGAATTCAAACTACTCTCCCTTCCTTGGATCAAACCTGACTACCTCCCAGGCGCTGTGTAACCAATACGAGTTTAGCGCTTCCCCTGAATATAATAATAGCAACAATGACAATAATAATAATAATAATAATAATAATAATAATAATAACAATTCCCACAACTATAATTGCTGCTCTTGTTGTAGTTAATTCCGTAGGTACTATTCTAGTTACTGCCGTAGTTACTGTAGTTACTGCTGCAGTTACTGCTGTAGTTACTGCTGTAGTTACTGCTGTAGTTACTACTGCAGTTACTGCTGTAGTTACTGCTGTAGTTACTGCTGTAGTTACTGCTGTAGTTACTGTTGTAGTTACTGCTGTAGTTACTGCTGTAGTTACTGCTGTAGTTACTGTAGTTACTGCTGTAGTTACTGCTGTAGTTACTGTAGTTACTGCTGTAGTTACTGTAGTTACTGCTGTAGTTACTGTAGTTACTGCCGTAGTTACTGTAGTTACTGTAGTTACTGCTGTAGTTACTGCCGTAGTTACTGCCGTAGTTACTGTAGTTACTGCCGTAGTTACTGTAGTTACTGTAGTTACTGCTGTAGTTACTGCCGTAGTTACTGTAGTTACTGCTGTAGTTACTGTAGTTACTGCTGTAGTTACTGTAGTTACTGCTGTAGTTACTGTAGTTACTGCTGCAGTTACTGCTGTAGTTACTACTGCAGTTACTGCTGTAGTTACTGCTGTAGTTACTGCTGTAGTTACTGTTGTAGTTACTGCTGTAGTTACTGCTGTAGTTACTGCTGTAGTTACTGTTGTAGTTACTGCTGTAGTTACTGCTGTAGTTACTGCTGTAGTTACTGCTGTAGTTACTGCTGTAGTTACTGTTGTAGTTACTGCTGTAGTTACTGTTGTAGTTACTGCTGTAGTTACTGCTGTAGTTACTGCTGTAGTTACTGTAGTTACTGCTGTAGTTACTGTAGTTACTGCTGTAGTTACTGTAGTTACTGCCGTAGTTACTGTAGTTACTGCTGTAGTTACTGCCGTAGTTACTGCCGTAGTTACTGTAGTTACTGCCGTAGTTACTGTAGTTACTGCTGTAGTTACTGCCGTAGTTACTGTAGTTACTGCTGTAGTTACTGTAGTTACTGCTGTAGTTACTGTAGTTACTGCTGTAGTTACTGTAGTTACTGCTGCAGTTACTGCTGTAGTTACTACTGCAGTTACTGCTGTAGTTACTGCTGTAGTTACTGCTGTAGTTACTGTTGTAGTTACTGCTGTAGTTACTGCTGTAGTTACTGCTGTAGTTACTGTTGTAGTTACTGCTGTAGTTACTGCTGTAGTTACTGCTGTAGTTACTGCTGTAGTTACTGCTGTAGTTACTGTTGTAGTTACTGCTGTAGTTACTGCTGTAGTTACTGCTGTAGTTACTGCTGTAGTTACTGTTGTAGTTACTGCTGTAGTTACTGCTGTAGTTACTGCTGTAGTTACTGTTGTAGTTACTGCTGTAGTTACTGCTGTAGTTACTGCTGTAGTTACTGCTGTAGTTACTGTTGTAGTTACTGCTGTAGTTACTGCTGTAGTTACTGCTGTAGTTACTGCTGTAGTTACTGTTGTAGTTACTGCTGTAGTTACTGCTGTAGTTACTGCTGTAGTTACTGCTGTAGTTACTGTTGTAGTTACTGCTGTAGTTACTGCTGTAGTTACTGCTGTAGTTACTGCTGTAGTTACTGCTGTAGTTACTGCTGCAGTTACTGCTGTAGTTACTGCTGTAGTTTCTGTAGTTACTGTAGTTACTGCTGTAGTTACTGCTGTAGTTACTGCTGTAGTTACTGCTGTAGTTACTGCTGCAGTTACTGCTGTAGTTACTGCTGTAGTTACTGTAGTTACTGCTGTAGTTACTGCTGTAGTTACTGCTGTAGTTACTGTAGTTACTGCTGTAGTTACTGTAGTTACTGCTGTAGTTACTACTGCAGTTACTGCCGTAGTTACTGTAGTTACTACTGCAGTTACTGTAGTTACTGCTGTAGTTACTGTAGTTACTGCTGTAGTTACTGCAGTTACTGCTGTAGTTACTGCTGTAGTTACTACTGCAGTTACTGCCGTAGTTACTGTAGTTACTACTGCAGTTACTGCTGTAGTTACTACTGCAGTTACTGCTGTAGTTACTGTAGTTACTGCTGTAGTTACTGCTGCAGTTACTGCTGTAGTTACTGCTGTAGTTACTGCTGCAGTTACTGCTGTAGTTACTACTGCAGTTACTGTAGTTACTGCTGTAGTTACTACTGCAGTTACTGCTGTAGTTACTGTAGTTACTGCTGTAGTTACTGCTGCAGTTACTGCTGTAGTTACTGTAGTTACTGCTGTAGTTGCTGCTGCAGTTACTGCTGTAGTTTCTGCTGCAGTTACTGCTGTAGGCACTATTCTAGTTACTGTAGTTACTGCTGTAGTTACTGCAGTTACTGCTGTAGTTAGTACTGCAGTTACTGCCGTAGTTACTGTAGTTACTACTGCAGTTACTGTAGTTACTGCTGTAGTTACTACTGCAGTTACTGCTGTAGTTACTGTAGTTACTGCTGTAGTTACTGCTGCAGTTACTGCTGTAGTTACTGTAGTTACTGCTGTAGTTACTGCTGCAGTTACTGCTGTAGTTACTACTGCAGTTACTGTAGTTACTGCTGTAGTTACTACTGCAGTTACTGCTGTAGTTACTGTAGTTACTGCTGTAGTTACTGCTGCAGTTACTGCTGTAGTTACTGTAGTTACTGCTGTAGTTACTGCTGCAGTTACTGCTGTAGTTACTGCTGCAGTTACTGCTGTAGGCACTATTCTAGTTACTACTGTAGTTACTGTAGTTACTGCTGTAGTTACTGCTGCAGTTACTGTTGTAGTTACTACTGCAATTACTGCTGTAGTTACTGCTGTAGGCACTATTCTAGTTACTGCTGTAGTTACTGTTGCAGTTACTGCTGTAGTTACTGCTGTAGTTACTGCTGTAGTTACTGTTGTAGTTACTGCTGTAGTTACTGCTGTAGTTACTGCTGTAGTTACTGTTGTAGTTACTGCTATAGTTACTCCTGTAGTTACTGTGGTAGTTACTGCTGTAGTTACTGCTGTAGACACTATTCTAGTTACTGCTGTAGGCACTACTGTAGTTACTGTTGTAGTTACTGCTGTAGTTACTGCTGTAGTTACTGTTGTAGTTACTGCTGTAGTTACTGCTGTAGTTACTGTTGTAGTTACTGCTGTAGTTACTGTTGTAGTTGCTGTAGTTACTACTGCAGTTACTGTAGTTACTGCTGTAGTTACTGTAGTTACTACTGTAGTTACTGCTGTAGTTACTACTGCAGTTACTGCTGTAGTTACTGCTGTAGTTACTGCTGTAGACACTATTCTAGTTACTGCTGTAGGTACTATTGTAGTTACTGTTGAAGGTACTACTGTAGTTACTGCTGTAGGCACTATTGCAGTTACTACTGTAGGCACTATTGTAGTTACTGTTGTAGGCACTATTGTAGTTACTGTTGTAGGCACTATTGTAGTTACTGTTGTAGGCACTATTGCAGTTACTACTGTAGGCACTATTGTAGTTACTGTTGTAGGCACTATTGTAGTTACTGTTGTAGGCACTATTGCAGTTACTACTGTAGGCACTATTGTAGTTACTGCTGTAGGCACTATTGTAGTTACTGTTGTAGGCAGTATTGTAGTTACTGTTGTAGGTACTATTGT